TAGCTATTCATTTTCTTTGACTGGCTAGGACTGTAGCACAGTATTGTATTCATGTTGTAACTGCTTATTCAGTGATGGAAGATATACTGTAAATATAGTTTTCTATTTCTGACACACTAAATTAAAAGTTTTAACAATAGCATAAAAATGTCACTTAAAGAAAAAGAAAATCAATGAGTTGTTGGCCGCAGTATGTTGATATATTTTCCTTTGCCAGGGAAAAAGTATAAAATATCTTTTTCTGCAAAGCTGAGCTGTTTTGAGGAAAACAAATTGCCTGTGTTAATCTGTGCAAAGGGAACTTGGAAATTTGCAATTTTGCAATAAAAACGCATCTTGCAGATATTTTGCCATTCTTTAGGGATCGCAGACATTGCTTATTTTCCTTGTTTTTACGAACTATCCATAAATTGCTGATGTTTGCAAATCATGCAGTTTTTTATGCTCTTCTGTATTTTATAAGAAAAAGTTGATATAAATACTTACTTATAAGCACATTTCCTGTTTTTCAGTTTAAAATAATGCAATATAGACTATTTAGAAGTGAAATGAATGTTCTTTGAAAGTTTAAGTTATGCGTATGTCTATCCTGGACATTTACATCCAAATATTAGGTAACTAAGACATAAAACTCACTTTGTCATCCAAGATTATAATATAGCCATAATGTAAGTGTGATCACACATACAGAGCAGAGGCTTTGCACAGATGCAGGTCCGGTGAACCATGAAAACACCCAGCTTTCCGCAATCACTCTTCACTGTGCTCCATAAAAGGCAGAGAGTCCCTCTGTTTTCTAAGGGACCTTTAAGCATTCCTGAAAAAAGGAGTAGAGGAAGAGAGTGTTGGAGGGGCAGCGTGTTGATTATAGTACCATATTTATTTTTTGGAAATCAACCTTGAAAGTTCAGCGTTTCATTGAGCCACAGCGGGAGTGGCTTGTTTGGCAGAACGTTACACATGGCCTGATAATTAAACAGCGCATATGTACAAACCGCCTCGGGCCACTTTATCTTCGACGCTGTTCCTCCAACATTTTCATTTTACGAGACATTCTGCTCACAGAGGCCGGCTTCCGGCCGGCTGCCCTCCGCACCGCACACTGTAACAGGAGCAGTGACCTTTATCGACCGAGACGCGGTACTGAACAATAGGGACAATTATAATGCATTTTACGGCAGTGCCGTGGTAAAAGGGTCCCATCCAAGTATGAATTACTAAGCGAATAAATTTGAAATATGTTCCTTGTCAGTTTCTGTACCAACTGCGGAGCATTTAAAGAATAATTGAGAACACGATTGCTACAGATCAGTGGGTCTCGGTCAGGCTGTGAGGTCAGGCTTTTCCCTCTCCTCCAGATGTATGGATTAGCGGACAATGGGCTGCACAGTCTAATCTAAGCCGACTGCTGTACGGCTGAGGTATTTAATCTGTCTCTGTAACTATGTACAAAGCTGTTCCTCTAAAGCTTTATATTCACTGTGAGTCGGCCTGTCTACAGAAATTGTGCAAAGGTTTATAATTCTCTTTATTTTTATTGACACCCCAAATGAAACAGAGGCTACATAATCCACGTCTTTGTCGGTTATTAAGGATCGCAACTGTTACTGTCAAGACTTAAACACAGACATTACTCCATAGGTACCACATGCCAATAGTCACCCATCCAAGCAAATCATCATTACTCCTGTAAGACTTGAACAACACCTGCTCCTCTGATGAAAACGATCAGCCCCTGTTGCCACCCCAGGCACGGGGTTAACACATCGCCATTTTATTGCTTGGCATCAAAACAAGTGCTGCACGTATAACCAAGGGTTAACTGTACGCCGTCTTTAAGCTACAGGGCATTTCTTTGACAGGGAGGTACAGATTAATGCTGAGGAGTTACAGGTCACCGGCTGACATCATCAAACAAGGCCTGCCTAATGTTCCGTTATCCCTGTACAGTCGATTCAGGGGCCTGTATTGTGTCTTTGAGGCATGTTACTTGTTTTGCTGTTGTTTTTTTTTTTTTTTTAGCCGAGGCCTGAAATCCAAGAACATCAAAGTGTTTTGTTTTTATTTAACGCCACGATTATCGGCCTGCATGAAAAGAGCCAGGTACAGACCAAGAGTTTGGCAGCTAGACAGGCAGAGAGCCAAGACATTTTAATCAAAGAAACCACGCATGTTCCGTCGGTGCTTTTTATTTATTTTTATCCAGTCCATTGATTTTTCACCAGATGTATTTATTTAAAAAAAATGCACAATTTGTCAATTTAGCTGTCCGAAAAGACAGAACTCGAGTGCAAGCCAAGATGGCTTTTCAGTTTCTTTTTTACTGCTGGTGGGTTTTCTAAATTTAATTGGCTCGTAATTTTCAGATCAGGTGAATAGTTTGGACGTTGCTCCGGCCCTGAAAACTTGTTCCCTTTGTGCCAGTAAAAGCCTCCCTCAAAACATATTTATTCATTTCAAACGCTGCATTACGTGACCAAACAAGGCGTTTTGGAGCTTCGCCCTGGTCTGTGAGAGGTATTGCAGGTGTGGGGGCCAAGCAACCATCATTAAGCCAGCCCTGCCCCCCGAGCCCCCGCACCTGCCTCCCTCTGACCCCCAAGCGGCTGCTTTATCCATTCGCTATCTCACAGGCGGCTGCCGTTGGCTTCTCTGTGTTTCCCAGCCATTTGACCCGGCGATGTCTGTGATAAGCCCTCGCCTGTTCGCCACAACCTCGTGGATCCATAAAGCCTCTGAAAGGGGGCTGAAGGGCTCGGTTTGTGTGCCATAGATGGAGGGGAAATCACAAGGGAACGGGGAACCATCGCTGCGAGATACACTGGAGCAGATTGGGTTTCTCGCCAAGGCTTCTGAGGGCTTGTGTTTCAGCGCACGGGCTCCTCTCCTGAGGAGAATTAAGCCTTGTTTTGCTACTCCTGAGGTGACCCAGGCCTTCCTGGGTCATGTCAGAGGGTAAGAGCATTCCCGTGGCTGGGAACAAGGCAGTTTACGGTACCTACCCCACTGGTAGATGCACAAAGGGACATGATAGGCGATGGTGTCTGCGGGGGCATGGCGACAGGTGTGCCTGTTACACACCAGAACAGGTGTTCCTTGACCAGCGCTCATAAACAGTCTGTTAAAGCAAGGTTAATAGTCAGCCTGCAGTGAATTTAGTAAATTCCCCAGTAAATGATGTGCGCTCTTCACATGACGGTAAGCATGTGCAGTCCTCAGTAAGGTGAAGTGATTACAGACAAACAGGAAAGACCAAATGGTACTGATTATGGATGCACTTGAAAAATACTAAGCGCAACCCATTTTGACAATAAACAATAGTCCTCTTAAAAGTGGACCAATGCAGATATTGATACTGAGGATTGATCTAAAGATATTTTATTTTTATCGACACGATACAATTTGAACAAATGACATAAAAATGATTAGAGACACTGACATTTTAGTGTATTTATAACCAGCAATATTTATGGTTCTTTGACAAGTTAGGTGTGATGTATTTTGTCTATGAAGTGTTTGTTTCAAGATTCCATTATTTATTTTAGCTCTATATCTTTCCTAACGTGATATCAATGAACCATGAGACGTAAATCAGACTGTACTGTATTTCTGGAAGATGCCAATAAAATAGGGTGGATGATATATTGCAATGGGGCATTCTGAGTGTATTAAGCAGTTCAGCGTTTTTTCGTGTCCATAAAGCATTGAAACTGCCAGGCGTGGAGGTTAAAGATCGGTGTATCTGGCCATTGGCCAGCAGCTCTCGTTTGGGCTCCGGGCCTGTTTCGCTCGCCCTGAAGTCCACCGGTGTTCTCAGAAGGTTCTATGCTCCCGTGACACTGTGGAAAGGAGACACTGAAAATAAATGAGCATGGTAACTGTGGGGAGCTACGAACTCGGCAACGGTGGCTAAGGCATTGGAGAGCAAAGCTACCTATCAAAGAGTGTGTTATTACTACCAGATGGGCGGCCACCTCACTGCAGCCAATCCCGGGATTCTTCATGTAATATCTCCTCCCAAGATGCCATTAAAATACGACATGTTACTATTTCATTCTTCACTGTGAATGGACACTAAATCCTGGTTCTGGTGTCATGAATTTGCTCTGAACTAATCACTGAATAAGGACCCAAGGCGGAATGAGTTTGAATCTGTTCAATATGATAGTGATTCTCGGGTGAAATTTCAATGCTTAACAGGAGACAACTTGCCCAAATACTGATGGGGGGGGAGGTTCTACGGTTCTCCTGTTGACATGAGCGGCTGTCGCCGGGAAGTACATGTAGTAACACGGTTTTGACTGTGCTGACAGCTGTTGGTCACAAGCGGATGAGGACTGTTGCTAGAATTTAATCAGGAGAAACTGCAAGGGGAAAGTAACAGGCTGTACTGATTCTATATTGTCATATGCTGACCAGATGCCTGCTATACATTCCCGTATTATATATAGGTCATATATACACAGGTCAGTGTAGACGTATTAATAAAGAATATATTGTTTCTGCGGTAACATTTGAACATTCATAGCATGTTATAATGCATTCGTAAAAGTATTGTATTATAAAGATGGCTATAATTACTTATAAAAAGGCGTAACATTATAGCCATGTTTATTATGCATTGTGAATGTTTTATGAAGCTCTCATCTATAATGCACTACAGATACCTTTATAATGCAGTACAAGGCATCCTTAGTTCTTAAACAGACCTTCATAATGCATTATGAAGGTATCTACAGTATAGTCCATTACAGATGAGAGCCTCAAGTATTATAATTAACACTAAAATCCCTCAGTAGAAGATGCTGTAATGCTTTATTAACTCTTATACTGAACATTATAATGCATTAATGTATATATAAATCGGCATTACTGTTTCTGCTTTAATAAAATTAATTTAAAATATTATTTTTTTTATTGTTGTCCTTTTGTTTTTATTCTTAAAATTATTTTTTTGTATATTGCTAATGACAGAAACAGTATCAGTACTGTTGGTTTGGGCATTCCATTGTGTTTTATATGCCATCATATTGAGCTGTAGATCTGGGGGGGTACAGTAAAGGCATAGGCTTTGGTTTGGGTGATCCTCTGCATTACCATGATTACTGATCACCAGCCCTGTGCATACAGATGACTCATGGTAATGAATCCCAGCTGAGCGTGATTGAACTGTTCACATTGTTACACTTTAAATTCAGACGGGCCCTTTGGAAAGGAGTGTAGAAGTTTGCAGTCTGATCAGGGAAAAGGGTGTAATACAGGTGGCTTGGCTAAGATTCCCGTTGTTTTTTCTATCGTGTTTTTCTTCATTTGGGGCTTTCGCAAGTAGTTATTAAAGATAAAATGTGTTTATATTTAAAAACCGCCACCCAGTTCCTCTCTCCTGCCTTTGTAGAAGATCTTCCAGAAGACGGCACTCTCTGGCATATATTAACCTGCTGAGGTAAATTAGAGTTAACAAATTGCCGATAGGTGTGTGTGTGTGTGTGTGTGTGTGTGTGTGTGTGTGTGTGTGTGTGTGTGTGTGTGTGTGTGTGCCCTGCGACGGGTTGGTGCCCGTTCCTGGGTTGTTCCCTGCCTTGTGCTCGTAGCCTCTGGGATCGGCTCCGGACCCCCACGATTCTGAAGAGGACAAGCGATTTCAGAGAATGGATGGATGGATTGGTTATTTTCCAAGTAAAATACCTTCAAAGGACCCCCTTCTGTACTAAAAGCACCTCACCTTTCATTACTGAGCTTGTGTTCCTGGTAGAGCGACAGATCTTGGTTAACTGGCCTCCTGACTGGCATCCCCACCCTTCCCTCCACTGGATGCAGCTGTCTGCTTTCATTGGTTCTCCCGCCGGATTCTTCCAATCTATCATCTTGCTTTCTTTCCACTCCTCTTACATTTCAGATGACACCAAAACAGAGTGGCTGGGAAACGGCTCACAAAGGCTGGGAGACTCCGCTCACGAAGAGGCGCTTTCATCTTTCCCGCGTCAGCTGCTGCTCCCGTCTGCTTGACGTTTGCTAAAACACGTCGGCGGTACGGAGCGGCGTGAGGTCAGCAGATGCGGTGCCCCTCTCGGTGCTGTCATGACAACAGGGGCCCCCAAACCTGTCTTCTCTCGCCCCTCTTCGCCCAGTCCAGAAAGCTTTCATCGCTCCTATCTGGCTGCTAGAGACGTTCCCCTCGAAACGCAAGCGCTTCTTCCTGCCAAAGCGAAAAAGGAGCTCATTCACTGAGCTGCAGGTGAGTTTAGTATCGCTCACTACCATCAAATAAAAATTTCAAATATGAAATGAAATTTTTTAATCCCCATCTTAACACATTTTACCCCCTGCACTTGCAGAATGACTTGGACGTTCTTGGAAATTTTCAAGCGTATCAGTAGAATTTTCACAAAATAAATGACTTGATAGCATTTCTTTGGAGTTGAAAATTTGCTACTGAGAGAGCATTATATTTAGATTTGACAGTTCTTACTGCGGTGGATTAGAATCCCAAAGTCAGGACTCTGCAGGCTCATCACAATTGTTCAACTAGACTAGTTCAGAATAAAGTTATTGATTCTGACTTTGCTGTTGCTTCCATTACTGTTATCCCAGAGGCACACACACCAGTGTCCAGCTTGATGACTTTATAACTACAACTGGCTACTTAATGACATGACTGCTGCACTTCTCTCTAGGGCCGCCTGTGCTAAGGATGACCGCTCTGCTTCATCAGCATAAGTTATGGGAATCTGTCACATTCCCTTTCCGGGGGCTTTGCAAATGTACAGGTTATTATTCCAGGTATCTGCCGTATCCCCTGCAGGTCCGTCAGCTAATGGGTTCATTCTCATTGTTTACACAAAAGTGGAAAACGAGCTTCCTGCTGTGTGACACACATTTCAATGTCAACATTTCAACATCTGTCTGAAGGTTTTTACACGGTCCTTTAATTAACCTGAGATCAATCACGAGTGTCACTGAGGCATACCTCTGTCATGGGGTAAAAGACTCACTCCACTTATTCTTGCCCTGCGCCGTACAAGAAATACAGGCTAAAATTAATGACAAGAGACATGCAAGGTTTAGAGTTAAACTCAAAATATTGGTGATGGTGAACAGGTGAGACACTGCAGGTACTGAAATGGCTGTTTATGAGCTTTTAACATAGTATAGGCAGTCCCCAGGATAAGAGCAACCAACTTACGAACAACTCGTACTGTCATAAAGCCTTTTATATAACAATTTGGGTTAAATACAATGGATCGTAATAATGAAAGCAATCAGTAATTTGTGACGCTCAAATCATTGTGCAGCGTTAGCAGATCGTCAGCTCGAGGTACCGTACCTCATGTAATTACTTTTGGCATTACTGCATTATTATTACTGTGAACTGTCTTATTGTTGTACAGCCATATCTACAAACTCGACTTAAATAGAGAATCTTGTTCATAACCTGGGGCCTGCCTTTAATGGTTGGGCCTGAATTGATAAATCATCTATAAAAACGGAATTTAAACAAAGATTTAATTTGCTGATCAGAAGTTTGTTGACGCTGATGACTATGGTCAGCCAGACAAAGGAGGGCCAGCGGATCTGCTTGAATTAGAAGGCAGGGGTGATGCCCATGTTAAAGACCATTAGAAGTATAAATAAAGAACATCAAATAACAAGCTTCCTGTGAGGGGCTCAGCAGTGGAGATGATCCACAGCCAATAACAGATAAAATAGTCACACTCATCAAAATAGTCAAGTTCAGTCAGTATTTGTTTATATAACACATTTACAAACAGCCCCAGATCAGAGTGCTGTATAATTTGACAAAATCAAAATCAAGTAAAAGAAAAAATCTGATACAGAAATTGATAAAATAGAGAAAAAACAAAACCAATTTTAAAAACCAAATATATAAACATTATATATATAAAATATATGCTTGTAATCAGCATGCATGTGCTCCTACTTCAGTGGAATTAGTGCTAAGGAGCACTTGGCAACGCGGAAGGCGTTATGCTAAAAAAAAACAACTGCAAATCACTGCAGTAATGTAAGGTAGATACAGTATGAGCAGTGCAGGCAGACAGTGCCTGTCAAAGCAGGCCAGCTCCAGCTTGTGAAGGCTGACTTTTTTTGGATGATGCGCGGAATCACTGGGCTTCAATCACCGTGGAGAGGCACACAGAACCACCTCCAGCTGTATGCCGACTGGATGTGGACCATGTTCTACAGCTGCCAGGGACTTTTTGGATACTTCTTATCCAACTTATTGGAAAGCTGAACAGAGCATTTTATGATCTACTAACAATGGCACCAAATGAAATGTTGTGTAGAATGAGCCAAGAACAAACTATGTTTGGGGAGGGGGGAGGGGGGGGGGCACAGGTGGGGGAGCCGGCCTCTACAGACTGTTTGCTTGGTACAGTAGAAGCTTAGGCACAAAAAGGCCAGATGGATGGCTTGGGCTGAGCACTAGCAAGTCATGTTCATGGTCCACCAGCTAATATCGGAATATTTATTGCTAAAGGACAAAATGCTGATATATAAACACCTGAACGATGACAGGCTGTAAATGTGCCTCCTGACAGAAAGTAGAGAGGAGGTCCAGGACAAATAGTGACTGATCACTAGATCAGTGGCCATTAGGAACCCAGTGACTGAGACCCTTTCTCACTCCTATGCTGTCCAGCTTTTTCCTATTCCTGTTATGTTCTTATTCTGAATTATGAACCTGCTTTGGTCATCTGCCACGTTCCGCTACCTGAGGGAGACCACGCAAAATGCCCCCCTCAGCCTTTTGCTCCTCTGGCTCCTCTCGGTGTCTGGAAGCCCCCACAGGACTGAGCGGCACCACACGGGTGGTTGCATGCCGGGCCGGTGACACCGAGCTCGCATCTGGTCAGGAAAAATGGAGCATAAATGGACGATGTGGACGGGTAACAAGGTCAGACTGCAGTGCAGATACACAGCATGTCTCATTAAATATTGAATGTTTTGGCACACAGGAGCATCGGAGGGGCATGGATACCCTGGCAGATTCAGGGGACCCAGCACTGGACAGGGGTCCTTGAAAACATAAAATGATACATAAAATTGGGCAGGGGGGCCCGAGATTCATACTGTTAAAGGGTTTTGTGAATCCTGCTGATTAATAGATCATCAAGGCACTAATGCAGTGTTTCTCAACCACAGACAGTGCACATGTATGCTCCCTCCCAGGTCGCTACTGGAAGCTGGGAGGGAGCAAAAACGTGGACCTTCTGGAAGGGAACTGGGAGGGAGCAAAAATGTGGACCTTCTGGAAGGGAACTGGGAGGGAGCAAAAATGTGGACCTTCTGGCAAGGAACTGGGAGGGAGCAAAAATGTGGACCTTCTGGAAGGGAACTGGGAGGGAGCAAAAATATGGACCTTCTGGGGATCCCAATGGATTGGCTTGAGAAACACTGCATTAATGATATATTAGATTCCATCTGTCATATGAAATATATATTTAATAAATATATGTTTCAGGTTCGCCTTAAGGCATAAGGCATTAGTGTAACCATTCCTCAGTTTCGACATGTTTGTATGTCAAATACAGGAAGTCAGTTTAATACTGAAGTCTGGTTGTTAATCTGTAGTAATCATAAAATGGCTTTATTTATATGACTGGAAAAACTGTCATTGGTCTGTCTCAACTGTCATTGGTCTGACTCCAGTTACTCCTATAATAACCAGTAAAATTAACTTTCTCAGAAAATGGTTGGATATATTAAACAAAATTGTTGCTAATTTCAGCAGCTCAGTTTGGCATTTTTGCGAATCTCGCGGCCAGTTGCGCTTTTCGGTTTCCTGTATTCCGCCTTTTTCTTTTCCTTGTGCAGCCAGCCAGCTCCATTTGACCTAAAAATGATCTTGAACAATGTTTTATTGCTCATCGGTCCTGGATGCAATGACACCGTAACGTATGTGCGAAATGGATCCCAGAAAAGCATGAAGCATGGAGATTATTCCTAATTCATTTTGTACTGGATGCTTATGCGGAACGTAAGGCGTATAATTGTCCTTAATGAATGATAACACTGACTGATGAGAAAAAACAGTTGGAGCCATTAAGTGGGTTGCTGTGTAAAAGTTTTATTTAGTTCAGGTCCACATTGTTCCTTTCAAGTTATAATGGTCTTTTGAATGGTCTTTCATAAAATATGCTTTCATGTTCAGTTAGTCTGGCAAATGCTGCCTTGCTGTCTGGGCCGTGATAGGATTCATACAGTCTCCTGCAAATGATTGTGGCCAAACCTGGCTGTCTGATTGGCCGGCCGGGGCACAGACTAATGTAGCACGGGCCAGTCACATTTCAACCTCTGTCTCAGGAGAGATATATAGCAGACATTGTACTTGTAGTGAGGAGTTTAGCAGAAGTCACTGGACTTGAAATATAAGGCACACTTTTTACGCATTTGAATGACTATTAAACAGATATGGAAGTATATTTATTCAAGTGCTGCAGACTAGGTTTTAGGAGCTCATTTGGTCTTTTGTTGTACATTTGTAATTTAACCCTTTGATTTCCACCAGCATTGCAGGTTTTCAAGTGTAAAATCACCAGAATTGGACACTGCTGGTACTGTACCTGCATCACAGTCTGCAATAACCGATTCTATTTTTCAGTTATGTCTTTGCGGAAATCATTTTTTTTTTATAAATCATGACAGTATGTCTACCTATAGTTTGCCCGTTTCCAAATATCTACTCGGACGTGTGCACAACAACAGATTTCTAAGGAATTATGCGTTTTGAAGGCACCCTCATAGAAAATACAAAACCGAAACCAAAATTAAAACACACAAAAGTTAAATGCTCTCTACTCAACAATGCATACGTGTGCTTCTGGGGTTGGGTAGTTGGCGAAGACTTAATTATTACTTTTTTTTTTTAAATCCAGACTGCCATCCTATGTTTACCTGTTTCAGTATGCAGTATTTTTTGAGAGAAACTCTCAAAATCCTGAAATGTTTAAGACACCATCATTCTGCTACACTGGGGTCCCAAGGAAACGGATAAATTTGATGTGTGCATCCTCTATTAGAGTAAAGAGACATAACCGGCATCCATAATGAAGTTTTAACCGGCAAGTGTAATCTCCAAGGCCAAATAACTGAAATTAGTTCCCTGGCATAGCAACTTCAGACTGATAATAAAAGGGTAACACTTTATAATGTGGTTCCTTAATAACTTAGTAGTAAATCATTTTCTACTCAAAAAGAAATTGTGAACATATATAGTCGCTGTTTGAGATAAAAGATGCGTCACAGTTCATTAATGATGAACAAACATGAGATCACTTTATCTGCTATTCATTATTTATTCTTTCAATAGTTCACAAATTAATAGATATAGTAGCAAATATAGTATATACTTGAAATAAATGATCCATCACGATTCCTTAGAAGTCTCTGTGCCTGTGATCAGAAGGTTGCTGGTTTGAGC